CATGAGATGTAGGTGTTGACAGAGGAAAACTAAGTAGGTCTGCTGAACTAATCTTGTCTGTGGGTATATGGATTGGGAACTGACGAGGATGATCATTCTGTGAGGCTGTTGAGTAAATAAGCCAGACAGCATGCCCAACAAGGACTCCTGGGTGTGGGTGGGCAGAGGTACAAACTGCTCAGGTGTTCACCCAAAAGTTGAGGTTTCAAGTCCACCCAAGGCCCATAGAAGAAAGGCTTGGCGATCGATCTGCTTCTGACGAATCAGTATCGAAAGTCTGTGGCCCACAGGTCTTCTCTGGCAGTAGCCCACAGGGGGTGGCCACAAGACGGCCTGATGCAAATAACAGAATACAAAACCCTGAAGCAACACACTCCTGCTGCTCCCCCTTTTTGCCCTGACACCCCCTCAACTGGGGAGGATCTCAAGAGATTCTGGATCCTTCCAGTTGCTCCACACCATTGTCCACTTTATAAAAGGCCGGCTGGAGAGAGAGCATTAGTGTCCTTGGGTTAGCACCACCCTAGAAGGACTCTTGGATTGCTTCTGCCAAATTCTACCTCCATCTCCAACACCTTGTCACTGGTAGGGCATCAGATCAGGGAGGTGGGAATTGGAGTCTCAGCCCATCAAGTTAGCTCCACCCCCTAATTTTATGCAAGCTCCCACTGGGCGAGCCCCTCCTCCCTCCCTTGTGCTCCGTGGAGCCCCAGGTCCTGTGGTGACAGACGGATGAAGACCCACCTTTGTGTGTGTTTGGGTGCGCAGGGGCATGTGGAGGAAGGCGGGCAAATCGATTCAGGGGTCTGTGAAATAATTATCACTGTCGGCTTTGGACTTTGAGGTATTGGAGACAGGAGAGCAGCCTTGCAGGGAAGCAAGGAGGCCAGAGAGTCCCGTTAATCATTCAGACTCATGGGGACCCCAGGTGTGGGAGGAGAACAGAGCCAACCGGGCCTTCTTGGCTGTTAGAAGCCCAGTGCCCAAAGTGATTGAAAGGTTGGTTGCTTGAATTCACCCAGTGGCTTCCTGACAGAAAAAAAACCCCTGATGATCTGCCCCTGTAAATATGGGGAAACCAGACAGGGCAGTTCTATCATGTCACCTGGGGTCGCTACAAGACAAGTTTGACGCCATCTGCCAACAACAATCTTTGGGGAAGCAGATGGCCAGGCCTTTGCTCCACAGTGAGGCAGGGTGGGTTGATCCACTAGGGTTTCGGCCGTAGCCAAGTGCAAATCATGCCATCCAGGGACCTACAGTGAAAGTACACGCAGGGGCTGCGTGCACGGGGCAAAGTGACAACAAAAACAGTGCAAATGCCAGTGTAACAACGCTCCAGGGGTCTTCTGCTGGGTGGGTGGGGGCACTCCCTTGCTGCTCACATTGGGGGCTGAGCACCGCGCCTATAACAGGGTTAGCATGCCAGCCCTTTAGAATCAAGAAAAGCTAGGGAGGTGACATCCGCCTCCCCTCGGGGGCTGCCCACCTCCCAGCCCACCGAGCAGCTCCGGAGTCGGCCAGGCTCCGGGCCACCCTCCCGCGCTCCCTCCAGCCGCGCGCTGTTGCCGGGGCTCGGGCCCCGCCCAGCTCCAGCGCGAACCAATGGCGGCGCGGCG